CATTCGCTGATGATCAGTTAATCAACTGTGTTTGATTGATGGCTGCTGCTTACCCTGTTCATTTCAATGGAAGTAGTAATGGTGTAGTTAATTGTTTACACACTACTTGTGCATTTTGGCTTAGTTTTGGGGGTTAAGTGTCAGGGTTAGAATTAGGGTTATTTTTTTTTATTAAATAATGACACAGTAATATGTCATCTATTGTTCCTGTGAGGTCGTATTTACCTCATTTTAAGACCTGTTTAGGGCCAGAAGATAAAACCTTAGAATTAAAATGGGATGTACTTTCTTTTTCACACAATTACATCTGAAATATAATTATTCCATAAGTCAGTAGTGGCCAGCATTTCTACTCTTCCCTCATTTCTATTTATTTTCTTTCTCAGAGTCCGATGATCAGAACTACAGAGTGCGTGCTGTCCATGCTTTGGTTCATAAGATGCCTGAAAGAAACAAGGAAATGCTGGAGTTACTAATAAAGCATCTTGTCAGGTACATGTTCTTGTAATCAATCAATTAACTTGCAGACTTAAGGTTACCTGAAACTAATTAAAGTTATCTGAGGCACTGCACCGCAATTGCAGGCGTCTCGCCAACTCTCACTATCTCGTAGACCAAAAAATGTCACCTCATGGCTAAACATGTGAATTATTAGGGTAGCAATACAGGACTGCATGCTACGCTTGTATGATATGCTTGTCTTCTAAACGCAGAGTTTCTGCACAAAACCAGTCTAACCTGATGACAGTGTCAAACCTGGGCGTCATCTTCGGGCCTACATTGATGCGATCACAAGAGGAGACAGTTGCCGCCATGATGAACATTAAGTTCCAGAACATTGTGGTGGAAATACTTATTGAAAATTTCAACAAGGTGAGTCACAGTTTCACTTTGAATGGCCTGGTATGCTTTTAATTATATCTGCATCAATAAACACATTCCTCGTGCAGCAGTTTTCTGAAGTAGAATATCCGTATTTCCTTATTATAACAGATTTATAGAAAGATCTCTTATGGTTTATAATCATTTTTCATGTTTTTCAAAAAACGACACCTAGACAGCAACAGATAGCAGAAGACACAGATGAGCGACAAGAATAATGTGTTTTATGATGCTATATGAACTTTCATATTCCAATGTTTATGTTAAATTCGATTGACCTTTAGTCATGTGAATACATTGTTGCCTCTAGTAGTATCATACATAAAGCACAAGCCAAAACAAACGGATGCATCAGCACTGTGTATGTGTGTATTTCTCTGTGTGACTGTTTGCGCGCACTTGCGTGTGTGAGTGTGTGCTCTGTGCCGTGTGCTAGAGGCACATACAGTCAAACAGTGAGCAGAGGAGAGAAAAAAATAGCAGAAGCTGGCTTTGAGATGAAATGTAACAAGTGCACATATATTTGTTTCATTTTTTAAATTTAATTTGTTGCTTTTAAGCCAATAGCTGAAGGCACCCAGTGAGTGAAAATGATTGCATTGGCTCACAACATTTGATGTGGCGTGCCTCTTTAAATACAGGATCCATGGAGAAGGTTTATTTCTTACAAGTTATGATGGTTAAGTATAATTTCAATTCAGTATAGCATTGTCTTGCTGAAATATGCACGCCTTCCTGATAAAGACATCTGCATCGGAGCATAGGTTGCTCTAAAACCCATCTATATATACCTTTCAACATTGAAAGTGTCACTCCAAAAGTGCAAGGTACCAATTCCATAGGCACTAATGCAGTGCCATACTATGAAAGATGCAGACTTTTTAACTAAGTGCTTATAATATGTAATGGTTCCTCTCTACTTTAGTCCAGTTGACACTGCAGCTGTGTTTTCCAGAAAGAATTTAGAATTTTGATTTGTCTGACCACAGTTTTCCACTTTGCCTCGGTCCATTTTCAATTACCGTTGGCCCAGAGAAGACTGCAGCATTTGTGGAGCGTGTTCAGATATGGCATCCGCTTTGATCCATAGAGCTTTAAACTGCTTTGTGGATAGCAGAGTGAACTGTGTTAAACAATAATTTCTGGGAGTGTTACTGAGCCTGTGAAGTTACTCTTAAATAACAGAATCATCCCTGATTTTAACACAGTGCTGCCTGAGGGAGAGAGTGGTATTCCCCCAACTGTTTCTTTTTTTTTTACCTCTTACTTTTCCAGCCTTTTGTCTCTAGCCAAACTTTTTTTTAGATGTGTTGCTGGCCTCAAACTCAAAACGAGCTCATATTTTAATTAAAAGGGCATATTTTTAAATGTTTTCTGCTCGCAAAACTTTTGCGAGATCTTGCAAAAGTTGAATTCCAACAATGGCGGCAGCTACTTAGTTGTAATATTACTCTTTCTGGGTCACAAAATACACT